CGGATGCCAATGAATTTGTTGTGTGCAAGGTGGCTGAAAACTTTGCGGAGGTCGCCTCCGCCATTCAAACAAGTGGCAGCGGAAATAAGCAGCCATTGCAGTCACTGCCAAAAAGGATCACGAACTCGACCATTAATAAAGAGCTGGCGCCATTGGGTACACACAAACAAATTTGACGAGTTAGTGTGGCCTGCGCGAGGACGGACTCTCCGAATCTATCCGCAAAGTGCTTGTCGGCCCGACCTTCGACATCCTGAGTTGACTCTCGCAACAGCTAACACGGCTCTCGTGTTCGAATTGTGTGGACATGCCGATGAAGACCCAAACCTATCCTACAGTCGGCCGACCGCGTCGACGGTATTACCATGTTTGCAGCGCTTGTCCAAACCATCGCGGCATCCAGAGAATTCAACGCAGCAGCCCTAAACGACATTTTTTTTTCGGATCCGAGCCCCGTGACCGACAAAACCCAACTCCTTCACGCACTTCGCATCTGGAATTCTGAATGCGAGGAACTACGAGCAGTAGGCTTCGCGCCGTCCAAACAAACGAGACGACGGTCATTCACGAGGTTGGTCGGCAAGGTGAAACCTCTCCAGGTTGCTTTGGAGATGGTGTCTCTGACCAGTCTGGGGCAACACGGGTGCCATCTTCGACGTGGCCAACCAGAAAGCGGGCGAATGGGCGGGTCTTGCCTCGCACGCACCTCATGTCCCCTCTGCTCCCTTGCTCGAGCCGCTCAGACAGGTAAGGGTGCCAAGGGTAACCCTGCCGCTGGCAAGGGCAAAAACAACGAGAGGTGGATTCCGTGTTCGTTTATCAGGGGGGCCTCTGCCAAAGCGGCGACACATGCAAACGTGTGCACGTTAACGCGTGCCCGCCTTGGCCTTCCATCCCAGACCCTCCAGCCGTTCGTGGAACCAGTCATCGCAATATTTGCCCAGGACACGCGTGCAGAAACTGCGGCCAGCACGGCCGCGGGGAAAATGAATGCCCGAACAAATGGAAGACCAAAGGAAAACAGGGATGTCCGCCAACCCCCTCTGTGGGGCCATCGGGCTGCGAGGCTCAGGTTTCAGCACCCTGCACCCATTGCAGCTTCCAGTCTCCAGTGTTACAATCCTACGTTATGCTTCCAGATGCAACTTGTTGAAGTCCGCGCGAGGGGGGGAATCGAACAACGTCCGGTTACCACCCCCGAGTCGCGTTGTCTGAATTCCTGCGGGGCCGTGGGACATGTAAAAATATGTGATATTCGCGTTCCCGACGCAATATTCCATCGTAGTTTACGCTGTGTTCGCGTCCCCGAAACCACAATTATTTTGAAAATTGCGCCGCGCTCGCGCCCCCGAAGCCACGATCCCTTGCACAATGCTCCATATTCGCGCCCCCGAGGCCACGATTTCCTGTAAATTACGCTCGCGCCTCTGGGGCCAGGGTCCTATGTAAACAAGGTGCGCCACAATTGCGCCCCCGAGGCCACGATCCCCCGTCAATTCCGCAATGTTCGCGTCTCCGAAACCACTCGCCCGAACGAAATCATGAATTCCTGCGTCCCCGAAACAACCAACTTGTATGCATTACGTCATATTCGCGTCCCCGAAGCTATTGACTCTTGCAACTTACGCAAATCTTGCGCCCCCGAAGCATCAAATTTCATAAATCTCCAACGTCTTGCGTCCCCGAAGCAGCGAACCCACGTAAATTACTCAATACTCGCGTCCCCGAAGCTAGAATCGTTTGTAAATTAATCCATGTACGCGCCCCCGAAGCCACAAACCGTTGCAAGTTGCTCAATAGTGGGGCCCCCGAAACCAACATCCATCGTACATTATGCAGTATTCGCGCCCCCGAGGCCACAAACCCTGGCACGTTGCTCAACTCTTGCGTCCCCGAAGCAACAAACCTTCTAAAGTATTCGATATTCGCATCCACGTGACTGTAAACCCTCGCGGAGTACGCCATAGTCGTACTGCCGAGGCCAAGAATGCTCCGAGGCGCACGAAAATGGTTCCAAGACGGCCCAAGAGGGCTCCCAAAGGCCCCAAGGTCGTCGACGCAACGACTTCCACAAGGCTTCCAATGTCTGGATCCATCTCCCTGAAGCGAACAAGGCCCTGACCCAGACAAGCTTGAGATGTCCATGCGCGCGTGCAGCAGGCAACGCCGCAACTCTTATACGGACTGCGGGGCAGGCCGACAAAGAAAAACAGGCGAGGAAAGGACAATAACTGGGCAGGAGAGCGAGGTGCCGAAAAGCGAGGAAGGGAGGGGGAGAGGGCGGGGGGGGACGGGAAAAGACAAACCGGGCCGACAGACGGACGGACGGGGGGACGGGAAGGGGAAATCAAGCAGGGAGGGAGAAGAAGACCGCGCACACGAGAGCCAGGGAGCACAACGGCAAGGAGAGGATGCGGAGAGGGAGAGGGGAGACGGGGGAGCCTAGAGTCACAGACAAGGCGAGGCAGGAGTAACGCACAGGGGACAGCGGGCAGGGGGGGGGGGGAACGCCCGCGGAGCAGCGCAGGGGGCGTGCACCTGGCGCGCCCAGGATCACGTGGCGTGGCGCTTCGCTAAATCACTGCATCAGAACAGGGAGGAAAGACAGGAACGAGAGGAGGAAGAGGAGGAAGAGGAAGAAAACCATGAAACATACTTCGCTGTCACAGCGGCGGCGCGTCGCCTGGCGACCAGTTGCCTACCTCCTCACCCAAGGCCGGGTCCTGGAGGCGCCGGAAGATTGCCCGCGCGTTTTCCTCTGAAGGGAACGTGGCAATCGCTGGGCTATTCGCAGACTCCCCACCTGCCTCCCCGCGCCAGCAGGCGCTCACGTGTTTGGCTATCGTGTCCAGGGTCTGCCGCGCGGTCTCCCCCCAGCCGCCGCTGTGGGATTCGATGATCATCGGGGCGAATGACAAACCTGCGCCCGAGCGCAACCCTTCTGTTGTGACGGTCTCTGCAGGCGCCTTGAAAGACCTTTTTGAAGACCACGCGCGCGCTCAGGACAGCGTCGGGGTTCGCCCAGCGTTACGCGGCACGTCTGCGCGGAGGCCCGACGTGCATGCGAAGTCCAGGGCAGCAAGTGTCCCGCCCAACGCTCGAGGGAAGAGGGCGTCGGCAGGGCGCCTCCAGGACCGCGCGCCGACTGGGGCCTCCCCTCCGCCGCCGTCGGGAGGCGCGCCGTCGCTCCGCGGGCGCTCCGGGAGAAGTCCAGGCTTCTCTCTCTCTGGGCCCATGTGCCCCCTCGTTGCGTCTTCGTGCGCAGTCCCGCAAGCGATTGTGGCGGGCCGCGCGGTCTCCGCTGCGTGGGCGCACGAGGGCGCGATCGCCGAAGCTGTCCACGGCGCCGTCGCACATGGGGCAGAATACATCGGCATCCTGCACGCGAGTGCGCAGCCTGCGCTTCAGAGCGACCTTGAACAGAGCGGGCTCCATGCTTCGCGCGGCGTCCGCTGGCGGCGCGGTCAGCCACGCCGCAGCTCCGCGTAGCTGCTGGAGGGGCAAGTGGGCCATGTAAGAAGCATCGGCGGAACTGTCGCGCCTCAAGTCCTGCTCCCGTTTGGCATCCACTATGGCCGACATTGCCTTTTGACTATGTCCTGGGGCGGCAGCGGCATCGGGCGAAATGCGGCAGGCGTGCGCTCGCCCCGCTGCGCTCGGGTACAAGTGGCCAGCCGTGTCATCAGGGTCGCAACCGCTGCCCATGGACGCGCAGGTCTCCTGCGTGGTGTGCAAGGAAGCCACGTGCGCAGCCGCTGCATGGTCGTCGGCCCCTTTAAGGCCGAGGCCGGCCCGCTTGATTCCGAGCGTGGCTTGCTCCAACTCGCGGTCTCCTATCTCGGCGCCGAGGACTTCCTTGAGGGCCGTCCGCGAGTTCGCTGTGAACTCCTGCAAAACGCCGCGGTGCAGCTCCGGTGGCACTGTCCGCATTGAGTATGCGAGTTCAGCATGCGAGGCGCGCTGGCGGATGAATTGGAACGCCGCCTGGGTGTCTCGCAACTTTGACACCTCGCGGAGAAGCGCCCCCCGCATTGCGAGCCCTCTTCTGCGCATGCCTGGCGCAGAAAGCAACCGATCCGAACGGCGTCCCGGGCGCCTTGAAATTGAAGCCTGCGAACAGAAATGGCGGGACACAGCGGCGCTCCGCTGCTGCCGGGATAATTTCGCACTTAGCCCTGTTGAATGCGAAGCCTATGTCAGCCAGGGAATTCTCGGCAAGCTCGCAGAAGCGGCGCGCAGTTCGGGAGCGCCCTCCGATCGCGCCGTCGCCCAAATAGAAGGACACTGGAGGCGATTCCCTAGGGAATTCCCGCAGCGCTCGAGCTCAGGATTCCTCGACGATTGCGTGGGCGGCCAGAGCGAACAGGGCCGGGCCGAGAGAATCGCCCTGCTGCTCTCCCCTCGCGGACTCCAGGCGGCTGCTTCCAATCGGGAGATTGGTCGCTTCGCCGCGGCAGAAATCCACCCAGGGGGCTAGCTCGGGCGCCAGTCGCCGGACAGCATGCCGGACCTGTGAACGGTCTACTGCGTTGAAGGCGTTCGGAAAGTCCAGCGAGGCCCGGGCGCAGTCGGCGTCGGCGCTGTTGCGCCCCGCCCACAGCCGAACGGCATGCGCGACCACTTCGCGCACAAGATTTTGCGTGCACTCCAGCAGAGGTTGCAGATGCGCTCCAAGAGGCCTCCCGAGAGAGCCCCAAGAAGCCAACGTCGTCGATTTAACAGAACAATGTTTGAAGGAGTTCGGGGTTCTCGCATTTCGGCTGTCCGACGCTCCAAGATGGTTCAAGATATCCCCACAACCGCCCCAAAACAATCCAACGCGCCCCAAGAGGGCCCCAAATGGGGGCCCCAAGACGGCCCGAGAGGGCTCCAAAACGTCAAGAAACGCTCCGAGAAACCCTGAAAAGCCCCCAGGATTCCCCAGGAGGCCCCAGGGGTCTTTTTTTCACTCCCCAATGCCTGTAGCGGATCCCGCCGACAGGCAAGACTCAGATCTTCACATAGATCCCCACGTAGTGCTTACCCAACCCACGTCGCACTGGTAGCTGGAGCTCATGGTCCAGCGGCTTCCCCGTCTGCGGGTTCTTGTGCGCCAGGATCCGGTTCCTTTTCTTCCGCTTGGCGTCGTCCTTAGCACTGAGGCCCTTCCTGGCTAGCGGCCCCGTGCACGCGGGCCCCAGGCCTGCCCGCCTCCGCGCCGAGTACGCACCGCACTCGATGCACGCAACATACGGCCCATGCACTTCCACTCTGTGCTGTCGCAGGCCGCCTACCTGCGCTGGCACTGCTGGTGCCCGCCTTGGTTGTACTCCTGCTGGCTGCGCTACTGCCTGAGCTGCTGCCGACGCGGCCATAACCACCGCGACGCTCGCCTCCAAGGAACCAACCATGCCAGACTTGTGCGCGCCCGCTGTGGTCCACGGCGGCGGCTGGCAGTCCGCCTCCCAGAGCTTCCTCCTCATTCGCTGTGTAGCCGCGCGCCTGCCGCAACGCACGCACCACATCCAGCCGCCGAACTCCTTCACCTCGTGCCGCGTCAGGGCGATCTGTGGCTTCGGCCGACGGCGTAGTGGTCGCCCACGTTCACGCTTCGGCACGTCTGGCCACTCCCCCTCCATCTGCTGATGCCACCAGCCAATATTCTGCACCCCCCAGCGTACACGGCCAGCGAGCGCCTCCACCGCCTGGTGCTTCCCATAATTCGCGTCCGTTTCGGCCCCCGCCTTGGCTAGTAGGTCGACCTCCGCGTTGCCCTTCGCGATCTTGAGCTCCGTGCCCGTGAGCTGCTCGATCTTCGCCATGGACCTGTGCGCCGTGACATGGATCACCCCGTTCATATCCAGGTCGAGATCCCGTATATTGTGCCAGATGCGCTTCCAGATGTCCGCGTGTGGCCGCTTCCAGCCGATGCACCAGCGCTCGCCCTTTTGCAAGCCCTCGATGATGCCCTCGTGGTCCGTGTAGATGTTGCCTTCGCCGAGCTTCTGCTCCAGCACCATGTAGAAGGCCCGCGTCTCCGCGCGCTTGATCGTCCTGTGCGCTGGGAGCGTGCACGGCAGTGGCCCCCACATCTGGCACTTCGGCCCCCCGCTCTCGTTGATCGACATGGCGGCCCAGCCCGTCTGCGCCCACTCGCTGTGCACGAGCTTGGACCCGTCGCGCGCGATGTCACCTGTGAAGTAGTCTTCGTCACCCTCCACGACCTGGCACATGACCTGGCCTTCATCGACGCCCTCAAACTTCCAGTCCGCCTCTGGGTGCCTCACCAGCCCCCGCGTCCAGAGCAAGCTGTCCTCCTGCTGCTCAGCTACCGTCTGCCACTCAGGCTGCGCCTTCAGCCCCTGCGCCCTCAAGGCCTGGCACTTGAAATACCTGTGATGCGGGGTGCCCACCGCCCCCCCGCACGCCAAGCAGATGTCCGTCGGCGCGACTTTGCTCGCACATAGCTTGCTCATGGACCAGTTCCCGCCGATGAAAGCCTTCCTCGCCGCGTTCTTGGCGTGCTTAGGGAAGCCCCGCGCCTTCAGCTGGGCGACCGCTGGGGCCACCATCGGTGCTGGCCGTGGACTCGCATACTTGTCCGCGGCCGTCCAATCCTGCCACAGTTTCAGCTGTGCGTCCTTCCTCAGCATCGCCACCACGTCCACGGGGCACACCTTCCTCATGTCCAGCTCGTAACCGTCCTTGGTGCTGACCGCATGCCAAGCTGGCCAAGTCCACTGCGCCCGCTTGGGCGACATGCTCACCGCCCCCGCGGGCCCTCGCACCCTGGCCCACGCGGGCTTCATGCCCACCTCTTGCTGCTGGCGCCTCCACGCCTTCGTCGGCAGATCCACCGCGTCGTCCAAGGCGTGCTCGAGGCTTGTCCCTGACCGCCCCGCACGTGGCGACGTGGAACCTGCGTCGTGCCCTGGATTTACTCCTGCTCGTCCAGCACGTGGCGCTGTGGAACCCAAGTCTAGCTCGGGGTCTGCTTCTGACCGCCCAGCCCTTGACGATGTCTCCCATGCTGCCCGCGCCCAGCGGGCAATGGGTGCCTCCGTAGCCTCGTAGGTGGGCCCCTCATTCGCCAGCGCCAGCTGCAGCGTGAGGCTTTTGGCTCCACGCCCTCCTGGCAATGCTCGCCCCGCTTCTCGCCGCAGCCGTCGTAACTGGTGGTCTGGCATGCCCAAACACTCGCACCCATGCATCACCGAGCGCTTGAAGCCGCACTTGAAGACCAACGCCGCGCCCTTCGCCATTTTGCGGCCGCCGCCCTGGAGGTTCGCGAGCCGCTTGCTCCTGCCCAGCAAAGTCTTGCATCGCTTGCCGTTCTTGGCCTTCGTCGCTGTGCCGCGCGCGATGCGATCGACGCCCAAATGCGGGCATGCACGCACCACAGGCAGCCCACGCGCGCTCATCGCCTTCGCCGCCGCCTTGCGCACCCACTTGGCACTGGCCATGACGGCTCCTTTGCCCTGAGCTCCTACCGAGCATTTCAGGCCCAGTTTGTCGAAGCCCTCGAAGTAAGCATCAATTGTGTCGCTGAAGTCCTTCACGATGCACCTCTGCTGCTGGCGAAGCCGCGCGCGACGATCACCCGCGTGCATGCGCCATTTTGCCCGCGGCCTTTCTGCCACGAGGCCGTCCAATGCCGACTGGATGACCAACTTCAGGAAGCACACCGGGAACTTGCTGCCTGCTACGATCGTGCCCACCGTGCTGGTGGCACTAGAGACGGACTCCCCGACAATCAACCTCCGCGCCATCGCGAAGTACGAGCACACCACCGCCAGCACGCCCGTGTTGAAGTTCATCTGCTTGCCCGCAACCCATGCGACATACAAACTTACCCGCTCGAAAGCCTTGGTCAAGCCCAATGCCGCAAGATCGTTGCCTCCAGCTCCTCGCTCTCGTCCTCTGGGTCGTCCATCTCGCGGCTCAGCAGCACGTCCCATGCTGCGTCCTCCGCCGCCTTGCCGAAGCAGGTACAATCCCAACTCCTCTGATTCTCCTTTGCCCACCTGACCATGTACGGCTCCCGCGTGGTCTCCCATAGGCGTATGGTGGTGGGTAACAGCCCAATGACCCTATCAGGGGTAAACGTCTTCGGGATAGTGAAAAACAGCGCCGTGCCCATGTGAATCGGCCACCTCAGCGTGCGCTCCACCTCCCGCGTTGTGTCCAGCAGCCTGTGGTGCGCCTCGTCACTCGCTCCCCGAAGCACTGACGGGCGCCATCGGTCCACCCCAATCATTCCAGTGCGCTTTCTGAAGGTGCGGGCCACCGCCTTGAGCCTGCAGACGTCCTCCTCGGTGAAGTCGTCCACCCCATCCTGGGGTAGTATTCTCAAGGTCTCGGCTCCTCCTGAAACGCCTCGCCTACCCGCCAGACGTCCTTCCACTCGGCCAGGGTGAGCTCCGCCGCCCCCATAGGGTCCGCCGCTATCGCCATCGCATATGCCCTCCGAGGCCCCCACACCGTAGCTGCCTTGCTCATCTTGTGAAGCCCTCCTGCCGCTCCTGCCGCAGCGATCCCCAGCTTGTCGCCCCACTTGGCCTTCCTGTCCCTGTGGAGCTGCTGGTCGACTGCCTTCATCCTGCTCTCTGCTTCCTGCGCCCACGCCTGGGCGGTCGCTTCCCTGCTGACGCCCCTCAGCTGGCCCGCGACGATCATGTCGCACCTGGCCTGCCATATGCCCTGGTCCGCGACCCCAATGTACTTCACGCGGTGGGGGCGCGCCTGGACGAGCTTCCCCGTGCCGTAGACCTCGCGCTCTCGCTTCTGGAGCTTGTCAGGGTCCATCTCGTTTGCCTTCCGCCGCCGCTGGTACGCGCCCTGCAAGCTGCGCAGGGCCCGCGCGGCCCATCTCCACCAGGCCGCTGCCCTTGCCGCTGTCGGTGCGTTCGCGCCCCCGAAGGTCAGAAGCTGAACTCGCCACCTGGGCTCTTCCGCCCTGCCCGCATGCGGGTCGTCCGCATCCCACTCCATGCCGCGTGCCTGGGAAGCCTCCCGCTCCAGCACCTGCATGTATCTGGCCTACTCGGTGTTCGCCGCCACCTGCGCGCTGAACTCCTTTACGTCCGCGTAGCTCGGAGGCTTGGGCACGCGCCCGATCGGCACCTCTGGCATCGCCTTCGGCTTCTCGAGCACCCTCGCCCTGAGCTGCTCCGCCTTCAATTTGAGCGTGGGCCCGACTGGCTCATGTGGTGCCGCTGGCCACGTCTCCTGCACTGCGACGCCCTCCACCTGCGCGACCACCGTGTCCGCCACCGCGAGGTAGTCGATCTCGCTGTTGCCGTAGGCTTGCCTGCAAATTCCGCACGCCGCTTTTGCCGTGGCCACAGTGGCCTTCGCTACTTTAGCGCTCGCCACTTCTGCCATCACTTCGGGCTGCACCTGGAAATCGCCCCCGATGACCCAGGGCGCGCCCAAGCTCTGCGACCCCCCTATGCGTGATCAATTGCGTGTTCCTGTGCGCCATGCCCCCCGCCGTCCACAGGTACACGGAAGCGAGCGCTATCCCTTTGCCCACTGAGAGCCAAGCCGCTGCCGCCCTGCCTGGGCTAGCCTGCGGGGAAATGCTCCATTCGTTCTTGCCAAACACGTAGCTCATCCCGATGCACTTCGGCACCGCGGCCGCAACTCCAGCCGATGTGCCTGGCTCGCCGTTGGGTCCCTCTGTGGCCACTGTCGCCGCGCCTCCCATGAAGTGGCCCTCGGCCTTCATGCTCTGCGTTACCACCGCTAATTTGTCCGTGTTCAGGTGATGCTCCTGCACTGCGTAGCACTGCAAACCCTGCATCTCCTCTGTGATCTTGTCCTTGGTGGTGCCCCAGCCCGTGCCATTATACGTCCACAGGGTGACCGTATCGTGCTTGGGCTTCCTGCTGCGCCTACTACCCTCGTCGCTGTCTCTTGGCCGCTTGCTCAGCAAAGCTGGCGCACACCTCCTGCCACCGCTTCCGCTGATCGGGTGTGGCTTCATCAGGTACTCCGCCTGCCTTGAGCCATTCCTGCTCTTCAGCAGTGAGTTCTGGTAGTTATGTATCCTCAGGCTGTGCGCGCCCATCTGCTTCTCCTGGTGCTCCTGGTGCTCCAGCGCCCCTGCCTGCCCCAGGTGCCCGAAGCAGATTATCACCACCTGCAGCAGCCATATCCACGTCCTCCTGCTTCGCGTTGGCCATGACCTTGCCGAGCAGGTCGAAGACCTGCTGGTACTCCTCCTTCGTGACTCCGCTGCCGTCGATCGCGCCTTCGAACTGCTTCTGCATGGCCGTGAGGAACTCAGGCGACTCACGCACACCGCAGTCCTGCACCTTGAGCTCCTGCCCCCTGGCCCTCGCAACCTGCAGCTGCTCCTTCTTCTTCTCGTGTTTGGCACGCGCCTCTTCCAGCTTCTGCTCGTGCCAGCATACGTCTTTGGCACACGCCTCTCTCTCTCTCTCTCTCTCTCTCTCTCTCCAGTTTCTCCCTGGCGTCCTTTGCCTGCGTGAGCTGCGCAGAAGGCGGCTTGGCATTGTCCTTCTCAGCCCTGGCCGCCTGGTACTTAGCATACGCTGCGTTGTACTCCTCCGAGTCCTCGCCCCGCTCACTCTTGCACGCCTGCGCCCACTTGTGGAACCTCGCAAGGTCGACCTGCGGTGCAACCTTCTCTCCGTCCGCCTTCTCATACTTGCCGACCTTGCCGCCCCCCTTGAGCGCCGTGAGCTCTTGCGTGAGTGCGTCCAGCTTCTTCTGCATTGCCGCCTCCCTCTTGTTCGGGCCCATCAGCGCTTCCTTAAAGGTGGTTGGCCGCCGTGGTGCTGGTGATCCACACCCACGACAATGCTTCCTCGTCGCGAAGTTGTCGGCCGCCCCACAGCTGCAGGACCACATGCCTTTCCCGCTGCATCCGCCGCGCCACGGAGACCCCCCAGCCGCCATGACACGAACTCCAGCGCGGGTACCGTACGTTGAAGGGGCGCTGCCCCCGAAATCTCCTGATCTGTCCGCGGCCCAGCGGTATCCATTGGACACCGCGGGAGCTGAGGCATCTTGAGCCAACATGGTTATGGCAAGAGGCCCCAGGGGTCCCCAAGAGGCCCCGAAGAGGCCCAAAATATACCCCACGAGGCCCCATGAGGCCCCCGAGAGGCGCCGAAACCGCCTCGTGTGAAACTCCCCACGACACCCCAGCACATATGCAAGAGGCCTCAGACCCACAACCCAGACACGGTGACGAGATGTGCCGAAGGACACTCGGATAACGCCGACGTTTCAGTATGCGCTAATGATTCTAATCCGCCCCTGCACAATGCTCCCAGATGCGCCGAGGCAGCGCCGTAACGCACCGACGCGACTCTGATATGTCCTATTATCATAGAGAGGGGGCCGGCGGCAGGGGGCGAAATCCTTACGAATATAAGAATTGAGACACCACGGGCGCCACCATGAGCGGGACACCGCCGCCGCAAGTCGGCTTGGATTCAAGGGAACGGAACCGGATCGGAACCGGCCAACTTGCACCTGATGGGAACGAAACCCCGATCGGATGCGGCCCATCTTCCTCGGACAGTTTTTTCAGGCGGCGGAGATGCGCGCGCCCCGCCTAATTCGCGCATGGGCGTCACGCTGGAAAACACGACAGCTCGCTATGCAAGCGCGCCTCGTTGATCTTCAGCTTGCGTGCCAGCTGGGCACAGTCTGGTGCCGCTTTTCCATCGCGAAGGATGAGCCCACCTGAACACACGGATCCTCGCGTCGTCTACATATCCGCCACAGTGGCCCTTTGCACGTCGAGGCGTGCCAGAATGCCACGTGCTGCCTGGTAGGGTTTCGGTAATCTTCTACGGGGCCCCCCTCTCCCCGTTGCACCTCCTCGCGCGCGCTGGCCATGCTCCCGGGGGGACCTGGGCAACACGGGCGGTCCAAGAGGGCCCCGAAGCGCCGAACGATCCCTCGAAGACGCCCAAGATGGCCTCAATGGCGCAAGAGGCTTCCAATGCGCCCCGAACGGCCCCCAAGGGGTCTCCCAAGGGGACCTCCAAAGGCAACAATCATTAATTTCTCCCCGCGCTTGGAAGAAATATGTTGGCGTTGTCGCCTAGCCGGGTTTCGGACGATCCAAGGCGGCCCTCAAAACCACCCCCAAAACACTGCCGAAGAGGCCTCCCGAGAGGGCCCCAAATGACCTAAGAATGCCCCAGGATGGCCCAAGAAGGTGCCCAAGACGGCCCAGGATGATCCAAAACGGCCCCCCAAAGAGGCGCCATACAGAGAACACAAACTGAAAATCCGCGCCCTCCGCCCCGACAGGCCCACGGGAGGCCCCAAGAAGCGCCCAAAAGCCCCCAGGAGGCCCCGAGATGCCCCTGGGAGGCCCCAAAGCGGCCCTCCTGAGACTTCAAAAGTGCTTCCAGGAGGCCCCCCACGAGATTTCAGCGAACATCCATGAAGCCTGGAACCCGTAACCCAGGCAAGGTGGCGGGACTTGCCGTGGGTAGCTGGATCAGGTAAACGAATGACTCGTCATGAAGATCGAGGCGGCCGAATACGTCGTGCAGGAAAACGCTTTGCACGGCAAAGTAGAGGTAGAGCGATAGCGCGCACCCGTGGGCAATTTCTGCTGGCTGGCGCCTCTCTGAAAACGGGCTCGTGCGGTCGCGTGTGACGAAATACCGGCTTTCGCTGACCGCCCGTATAGTGCTTGCCATTCCCGTGGGCAACCCAAACCTTTGCAACGCATCACACATGATGTCCCGCTCCGTTCTGTCAAATGCTTTGCCCAGGTCCAACATCAGAAGCAGCATCCCGCCAGAGTTGTTGATGTGCGCAACGTCGATCGTGCGTCCCACCAGCTTGAGCGCGTCCACCGTGCCACGGCCCGGGCATGAGCCGTATCGTGGGTCTCGCGTCCGCGCCACCACCAGCCAACGTGTGATACATCATGCGCCATGACGTTGCATCCTGCCGGCAAGCATGATGGAGTCAGGTAGTTTGCTGGAAATGTGGCGTCGCCTTTTTTCTCTAATCGCAATCGGCTTTTGCGCACCGCTATGGCTCTCGAGTAGTACCCTGCTCCCAACACCGTTGGTAAACCCAAGTGTATTATACCACACGGGATGTCATCATCTGCTACTGCCTTCCACAAATCTGGCGGAACATTGTAAGGCCCCGCCGCTTTCCCAACCTTCAACCTTCCCAGAGCTCGTCGGAGCTCGGCCAGCGTGAACGATGACGCGTTGATCGGTAAGGTAGGCTCAAGCGGGGCGTCACTTGTCCCTCCTGCTCCTGCGCCAATTCCCGTTCTGTTCTCCCCCTCCCCCTCCCCCTCCTCCTCCTCCTCCTCCTCCTCCTCCTCCTCCTCCTCCACCTCCTTCCGCCTCTTCCAACCGCAATTTCATTTGAACTGTCGCTTTCCCCCGCCTCCGACTTCGCCCTCTCGATCTCCTTGTCCGCCTCCCTCTCCTACTCCGTCCACTCCGTCGCAAGGGTGGGGGGACGGCGAGTCCTCATCAGATTCGCTATCCATCAGAGCGGCGAACTTGCTCTTGGCAACGAACTTGTTCTGGGGGAGGGTGCTCACAATGAAGTTGCCAGTGGCAGATCAACATAGTAAGGACGCGGCGAGAAACGATACACGACGGTGGAGGAACACGGGGAGGGAGAAACTTTTCTTTTTTGCTATGGACCTCCGCTGTGCGAACGACATTCCCAGGCATGGGACGATTTTATGCTTGTCGATCCGCGGGCCCCAGAGCTCCAGACCCAATCCCTGGGGGCATTGGTTCGCATGTGGTAACCAAGGCCCAAAACTGTCCCCGAATGCCCGACTCGGGAAAGCACGCCGCGACTGGTTTGTAACGGTGCGCCGCGCTTCCCAGGAGCTCTGTTGCGGAGGTGGTCACTCGCTAACCTGCATGTCGCGCACATCCTCTCCTCATCCTCCACGTCCTCGTGCTCCTCCCTCTTCCCCTACCCGTCAGAACCCAGAATCCATCTGAAACCGTCACCCCCATCCAAAACGTTTTTTGTTGTTGTTTTTTTTGTAATCGGGGCCGTTGCAATGTTAGCCAGCATGGGCCCCAAACAGTGAGGTATTGCACTGTGGCGGTGAAGCTGTGCGGTGCAAGCTGTGTCGGGTAAGCTATGTGATGTGAGCCATGGCGGTGAAAGCTACGCGGTGCAACCTATGAGGTGCAAGCTTTGCCGTGCAACATGTGTGACGTAAGCTGGCGCTGAAAACTACGCTGTGTCAGCCATGTGGTGCAACAGGTCTAGTGAAAGCGATACGGTGCAAGCCACACGGAGCAAGCTATGTTGTGGCAGCTATGTGGTGTAATCTGTGTAATGCAGGCTCAGCACACGGGGCGCCTACGGCGGCCACGTGTCGCAATCTCGGCGGATCCACCCGGCGCACGAGGCGCCCGCGAGCGCCCACGAGGCGGCACGGGCGGCAACGTGGTGCAACCCACAACGTCGGCGCATCACCCAGCACCTGGTCGCCCACGAGCGCCCATAAGGCGGCATGGGCGGCAACGTGGCGCGACCCGCAACCTCGACGACACCCAACGCGCGGGGCGCCTGCCAGCAGCAACGAGGCGGCAACGTGGAACAACTCTCGGCGAACCCGTCCAATTACTTGAGACACGTAAGTAAGCACCCCTAAGTGCAACCACTGTTTTGGGGCAGACAATAATTAGCACATAACATATCCCACAACATCCATCCTCCTCCCACTCAAAGCCGCCCCCTGGACCGCTCCCAGGGCGAACTCTCGCCAGGATCTCGAAGCGAATCCACCCATGTGAACGAGGAGCCCCGAAGGAGGCCCAACGAGGACGAAACACATCAACGTCCTGCTCCTCAATACCGCTCACGGAGACAGCGCAACCGAAAACCGACCGAACCGACAGCCAGACTGGAACTGACTGAGACTGACAGGCCGCAACCAGCCCAAAGGGTGGCGCTGCCACGCAACAACGACACAACAACTGACTGAACCAACCGACCGACCGCGACGGACTGTAACGCAGCCGAGCCGACCGAACTGCGGACACCCCTGGCATCCCCCCCCCGTTGGACATCCGTCGTCGTCGTTGTCGGTCAACGCTTGGCCCGCACCTCTCGTCCCTACGCAGTCTGCCGCAACAGGCCTCGCTCCCTCTGGGAGGAAGGCCCGCCCTCGGCAGCTAGAGACAAACATAATAACAGAAAAGGCAGAAAGCGCCTGGGGAGGCAGAGGCACAGAACCCCAGATCTCCAGGCGTTGGAAACGACAATCTGTCGACGGCTGTGTTTTTTCCCTAGACGCTGGCCGAACAATCGTGACGCCGCAGGTCTGGGGGCAAGATATAGCCATGGTGGATCCACGGTGGATCAAGGGTAGAGCTATGACAGATCCGACGATACATTTACCTATGCGACCACACTCCGGGTGAGAAGGAGATTCGAGGGGAGGAACCAACAGAAACAACGTCTCACTTTATCGACCTCACTGTCGATCTCACGATCGATCTCGCAATCGATCCCACTCATACCGATCTCACTGTCGATCTCACACCTCACGGGACACCACGGAACACCACGGGACACCGTGCCACGGGAATGACCGCGGGACACCACGGGACACCGCGGGACACCATCGGGACACCGCGGCGTGACACCTCCGGTACCCGCCCGCCAACCGGGCGGGGGGGCGGACTTCTGCCCAGACGGCGCCCTAGCAACAGAAGGTACATTCCTCTCGCCCGCCCACGCAACTTCGCCTCGCCCGCACGTGCGTCACGAACACGAAACCGAAACCGATTTCCCGGTGGGGGGCCCTCCGTTTAACTGCGATCTCACCCCCGATGGAGCCATAGGCCCATGGATATACCCTGAGATCTGTCGTCGTGAACCAATATGCAGCATCTTGGAAAATCACGGCAAGAGACCCAATCAGACCGCATTGGATGCCTCACGAATGCGGCCGGAGCAGATGGGGTCGGAGGATCGCGCCGCATCGCCGAGGCATCGACGAAGCGGCCCGATTTGGTGCCCGATTCTCTCCATTCTAATGTCGACGATGCATCGCGCGGCGTGATCCTCCGACCTCATTTGCTTCGACCTTGGGCTGCCTGGAATCTTTCCGCCGCACTTCACCAGCGATGGGCCCGGGCCCGAAGCGGGGCGGAACGCCCGTGGCGTGAAACGACTTCGGCGCCCAGATCTCTAAGAGATCTGGGCCTCTGCGGAGCCTTGGTGGTGTGAAGGGAGGAAAGAGCACCCGACAATTGGCGTTTACTAAACGGCTTCGCGTGCAGGGGTACTTATTCTGGGGGTGGATTTTCTGCCCTCTATGGTGGTCCACCACCAGGCCTCCGCAGAGGCCCTTCGGCCCAGACCGTAAGGTGTGTGGCTCTGTCCGATTCCGACCAAGCCGGGAGGTCATGCGCGCAAAGACCAACCGACATAGGATGGGCCCGTGGATCCGTGGATGACCTGCGGTGGTGTGCTATGAGATGTTTTGTTAATCCGGGTATTTTTCCCCTGGGCCTTTGGGACCCGTAGTCGGGCTGGGGGTCGTCGGAAATTGATCCTGTGTGCAAAACTGCCCCCGGGGAGGAGGGCGGGAGGTCTGGGGCCGCTGGTTAAAAAAAAAACATCTAGGAGAATCTCTAGGGTTCCCTCTCGCAGCTATTGTCAAACCACACTGGAATACAAGAAAAGCCAGCGGTCCTGAAGGGAGCGGGGCTCGGACGCCCCGAGGCTTAGCCCTGGGACCGGCTGGGACCGGCTTCTCATCTCGAACCTCTTTTTGACTGTCATTATCTGTGCCAGGCAATGGCTCCGACACGTCGAAAACGACCCAGAACCCACATCCCCGCTACTGTGCGTTTGCCGCAAGGTGGGCCCCTTCTCAAGAAACAATTTTTCATCCTAAGCCGTCCTTTGACGGTCTCAGAGCCCGGTAAGGGCCCAAGGGTGCCGAAAATTGACAAACCATGTCCGTTGTCTTTCTCACGACGTGAGGGGATCTGCGAACCTTGGGGCCCCTTTCTCGATGGGACGATCGCCGGCCCGGCGGCAGAACTGAGCAAGACAAAGGACAACACGAGCGGAGAGAAGGTGAGACACGGGCAAAACAAAACGCTCCTGGAGAGGAGGAACAACAACCAACATAAATAAACACAAACGGTCGGAAATCCGCGAGGAGTTCTTTGGACGGGTCTGGACCCTCCTCCTCCGTGGCAGCCCCGAGGTGCCGCCAGGGGGGCCCAGCGACAATCCTTGGCGGCACGCAAAGGATGGTATGGGGGAGGGGGGAAGGCTTCTTAGAAGGGGGCTTCTTCTCGGAAGCCTTTCCCCCTGCCCCTGCCCCCCTCTGCGCGTGGCCGAGTTCCAAGAGATCTGCGCGGACCTACGAAAGCTCATGCTCTCAGATGTACATCCGCCTCTCCTGTTCTTTGGGGGTCAAAAGGGGGGCGGGCACCCTCAGAACGCCGACGCGCTCGGCACGTGCAGCGGCAGCGCCGGGGACCGCGCCGACGTCGGCCGGCTCACGGCTGGCAGCGACGCCTGCTGCGGGCTGGGCGACCACGGCCACGAAGGCGACTGGCGCGTCGTGGGTGTCCCCGTGCCGCAGCTGGTCGAGGCCGCCGAGCTGGGCTCCGCGTGCACGGGCCCGTGCCTCGGCCGGCCGTGCAGCATCGCCTGCTGCAGGTCCTCGTGCGCGTCCTTCTGAGCCTCGGCCTCACTCCTGAACTCGGCCGTGCTGCCGCTGTCGTTCCGCAGCGCGCCCTCCAGGGCCTCGTGCTTCTTCACGAGGTCCCCCTGCTCTCTCCACAGCCGGCCGCACAGGTCCTTGGCCCCCGCGAGCGCGGCGTCCCTCTCCACCTGGGCCCTGATCAGCTCGCGCCGCAGCGACAAGTTTTCGCTGAAGAGGTCGTCGGCGAGCCTGCGGAGCGAGTCCTGCGGCCCCGCCAGCCCGGGCCACCGGGCCGCCTGCAGCTCCGCCGATGCCGCCGAGTGCTCGTGCCCCGCCGCGCTGTCGGCCCGCAGGTCGGCGAGCTCGCGCGCCCACTTGCGCTCCCCCGCGGCGGCGGCTCCGGCCAGCCGCTGGCAGGCGCCGCGCCAGCCGAACTCCGCGGCCCACGCACTCGCGAGGTGCCACCAGTCCTCGAAGTGGCCACCGCCCGGCGCGGGGCCGCCCGCGCCGCCGCCTGCGCCCGCGAGCTCCAGCGACGCGTGCGCCGTCCCGCTCGCCGGCTCTGGCAGGGCGCCGCCCCCCCCTCCCGGCCAGGGCCGGCGGCAAGGCGCCTGGGCCCCTCTGTGGGGCTGCCGCTGGGCGGCGGGGAGCTCGCCCGCCCAGGGGCGCCCAAGGTCCTCGCGGCCCCGCTCGCCCGCCGCGTGCGCCAGGCGCTGGGCCCTCTGGCGCCACGCGCTCGCCTCGAGGCCCGCGGCGCGCTGGGCGAGGCTCAGGTGGTCGGCGGCCGAGCTGGCCGCCCCGCCGCTCGGCGGCGCCCTCGCGCGGGCGGGGCCCTCGGAGGTTGGGCACCCGTTCCAGCCGGCGTACCTCAGCACCTCCTGATCGAGCGCCTGCGCTCTCGCCGCCAGCTGGGAGCACTCCGAGGAGAGCCTCGTGCGCTCCTCCGCATGGCAGAGCGCCGCCCTCGCCAGCTGATGGCTCGAGAGCAGCTGGATCTCGTCCCCTCTAACGCTGTAGTCTTGCTCGTGCTCGCTGGCCGCGAAGATCGGGACAGTGCCCTCGCGGATCGCGGATCTGTCCCGCCACACGGTCGGACGACGCCATCTTTTCGCCAATATCGACCCTGGGCAAGGCCACCCCGAGCCCGGCTTGGTATACAAGCCGTCCTGGCTGTGCTAGGAGGGCCAGGATCGGTGTCAGTGCACTCAAGCTCCCGACAAGTGAAGAACACACGGCGATCACCCGCCGCGCTTGCAGCAATTGTTACGTGTCTGCCCCCCGCGTTTGTTTGCTGGCCTTGCTTCTTCTGAAGCAGAAGTCGGGGGGGCGGGGGCAGGCGCATCGGGCCCAGCAAGGGCTCACTCGTTGAACAGAGTCCGTGCTTTCTGGTGTCTCACACACGACTTCCACAAGTATAAACAGCAGTCTGGGCCGACAATTCCATGTGGTGTCCTCCCTCCCCGCCCCCCCTCCTCTCCCCCTCCCCCAGGCGCCCACCCCAGAGCGGTGGCGGATTCGCGCGGTTGCTCAACTGGATCGAAACAAAAATAACGACCAAAATTCCCCACACCTTCTTCACGTATGATTCTCCTAGCCTGGCCAATCCGTGAGAGCCCCGGAGCCCAAACGGACCCCCAAACGCCAGTCGGGTGCCTTTCTCGAGACGCTGGCCTCAAGATTTGTCCGTGACGTGGGCTCTTCAAACTCTGGACCCAATCCATGTTTTTGTCGCTGGTATGTTTCGACAGGTCCTGGGCCCGAAAGGGCCTGCGGCCCCCTGCCCTGGAACAACTAGCCGCTGCGATGTCCCCTCAGGACACCGAAGGTTGGATCTCCAGAAGTCTCCGCACAAAAGCATCTGGAGATTCCCGGGCTGACGACGGTCCCTGGAGGCATCTGTCGGCTCCCAGAGGCACAACAGGCCAAGCGCGTAAAGCAAGTATTGGACGCGAGGATCCTATTTTCCAGCGCGCTCATTCCCCTGAATTCTGAGCATTGGTGAGTCTGAGCGTGAGCGAGTCCGTATACGAGCGGCTGAGTATGAGTGAGTACGGATTGGAGTGGGTCGAAGTACAAGCGGCTGGGGGTGATCAAAACTGAGCATGACTGGTTCTGGGTGTGAATGGGGTTGGGTGTACATGAGTCTGGGTGTGACCGAGACTTAGCGTGTGACAGGGTAAGATCAGGCGTCAAGCGTCCCAATGTAAGTGGATCTGGGTATGAATTGGTACGGACGAGACTAGGTATGACCGAGTGCGTCTGCGTAGAAGCACCCGATTGTGAACGGCTGAGTGCCATCAAGTCTGGGTGTGTGCGGGCATTCATGTGAGGCGATAGGGGTATGAGTAAGTCTAGGCGTGAGCGAGGTGGGGGTTCAGCAATCTGGGCGCCTCGGAGTTTCCCACAATCTGGGCGTGAACAGGCTCATGCCATACCACACGGCGGCTCCCTGCTTGGGAGACCAAAGTGCCAAGCCTGGCGCATCGCAATGATCCTGCGGCTGAGAGAAGAAACGCGTTCACCAAAACGGGCGTTCCGCCCGAGGGCCCCCGCAATGTTGGCGCGAACGGGCCCATGTTATAGCCCTGGCGGCACCCCCTTGGGAGGCCAAAGTGCCATGGCTGCTACATCGCGGTGGTCATGGAAGCGCTGTAAAGGATACCATAAACTTCCAACATCGGGCGTTTCGCCCGAGAGGTCCTCACAATCTCGGCGCCAACGGGCTCGTGTCTAAACTTCCTAGCGGTCCCCCTTGGGAGACCCAAGTGCCACGACTGCTACACTGAGGTGGTCATGGGGCTCTGAGAAGGGACGCGGCTACCTCATTGTATAACGATTCGTCTGAAAAGTCCCCACAATCTGGGCGCCCACGGGCCTCCTCCTAGGGAGGCTCAAATACAACGACTGCCCCATTGCGCTGGTGATGGGTCTCTGGGACCGGGAATTTCGCCTGAGGTCACCACGATCTGGACTTCTCCCCTGCTGTTCCCATTGAGAAGCCCCAATGCCGTGCCTGCCACATCGCGGCTACCGTTGGGCTGTGAGACAAAATGTGTTTTCTCTCAAACCGTGCGTTCCCCCTTTTGGAATCCGCTGAGGGATCCCGGCAATCTGGGCGCCATCAATCTGGGTGCCAACGTGCCCGTACCATCCAATCTGGCGACCCCCTTTGAGAGGGCAAACTGCTATGCCGGTGTTATCGCGGCCATCATGTGGCTATGAGAAGAGACACGTGTACTCCCGAGGATGGGCTCTTCGCCTGAAGGGTCCGAGCAATCTGGCTCCCTGGCGGCTGCAACGCCTGCCAAATCGCGGTGATCATGGGCCCTGAGGGGGGACGCGTCTGCTTCACCAGACGAGCGTTTTCCGTGAAAGGCCCCCACGCTTTGGACGCGAATGTGCCCTTGTCATGCCCCCCCCTGCGGCCCTGCCTCAGGAACTCCGAAATGCCATGCCCATTATACCGCGGTGATCATGGTGCCTTGGGAGGAGACACCAATACCGTACCCGTCTGGCGGAAGAAGTAGGTAGAAACATGAAGTAGGAAGGCGTTGGAAGTAGATTGGATCTCCGCCCACCCCCTGAAGAGGAGGGAAGGGAAAGCCGCTCGACTCTTGAAGTAGGAAGGCGCTAGAAGTAGATGGGGATCCGAAAATCCAAAAGTATATACTTTCAACGACCAGCGTGCATGCTTGCCCAGACTGGCGTTTCGCCTGAGAATTCTCCACGCTCTGGGCACGACCGGGCCCGTGTCGTACCCCTGGGGGCCACCCCCTTGGGAGGCCCAGATGCCGCGCCTGCTGCATATCGGTGACCATGGGGCTGCGACAAGAGACGCGTTCACTTCCCGAAACAAGCGCTTCACCTGGGAGTTGCCCACAATCTAGACACCAACAGGCCCATGTCGTCCCCTCTGGCGGCTCCCCCACTAGGAGGCCCAATTTCCGTGCCTGCTACATCACCGTGAGTCCGAGTATGAGTGAGGCTGAGTACGAGTGGGACCGAGTATGAGTGAGCCTGAGCGTGGGTGAGGATGAGTGACTGGGTCTGAGTATGAATGGGACTGCATGTGAGCAAATCCCTGGATGAGTGAGTCTACGTGTGATCGAGTCTGAGTGCGAGTGGGTCTGACTATGAGTGTATGCCCTCCGTATGGGTGAATACGAGTGTGAGTGAGTCTTAGTCTGAGGGAATCTGGACAAAAGCGAATCTGAATATGCGCCTATCTGGGCTGGACAAATCTGCGTGCTTGAATCCAACTGTGAGCGAGCCGGGGCGCACAACTGATTCTGAATGGGCCTGAAAACGGATCGAGCGGGAGGAGGCGGAGCGTCATGTTTCCCGTACGTGCCCTGGAAACCTCTCGACCCCTTGCGGGGGACACGACCCTCGCCCCGGATATGTTTCGCGCCAGTGCGCGGGCACCAAGTGGCCGCCGCAATTTTTTTTCGAGGCGTTTGAGGTCTGGGCCCCCAGACCCCCGAAGCCTGGTCTTGTCCGCAACTCGGTTGCGCCGAAAAAGGTGGGCTATGCAGAAGGGTGCTGCGCGTCATGGCTCGACGCACGTGCACGGAGCAGGTGGAGCCAGGTGATGCGTTGAAAGAGAAACAGGGGGCCATGACATCTGGGAGATATCATGGCCCTCGACCGAATCCCCATCAGACATCTGAGTTCATGTGGTGAACGAGCTTCGTCTTTCAATCCCCTTCTTCTCCTTCTGGAAGGGGGTTCGAGCGTCTGAGATGGTCACCCAAATAAAGCAATATAACCCAAGATGGCCTCCCGAACGAATGCATCAAGAGGTTCCAGAACTGCCCCAAGACGACTCCAAGTAGTCACATGACCACGTAGCTTTCCGTGGATACAACCCTGGGAAACACACGGTCTTTCGATTAGGTTGTTGGACCTTATCGTCTTTTCGCTTCCGATGGACCACTGAGGCCACGAAACAATTATCCCAATGCGACCCTACCTAGGAGTTGGAGCCTCTGCTGCACGCTCTTGCGTGGCTCTGCGAGTCACGGAATTGAGGCTGA